AATCAGGCTTCCACTATCCTCATCGTCTAACCAAATATTCAACCTCACCACGAGGTCATCTACAGACTCACCGTCTCAAAAGCGTCTCCATCGATAAAAAACCACCGGATTTCCAAACCGATATCCAGCCACCGATAAGGAGCACGTATCGCGTGATACGCGGGGGATAAGTGTAGATTAGATAACACGCATCATTCTCGAAACCTAGATCGCTCGCTCTCAACGCTGAAGATTTCCCAGTCACCCATTAATCCATCCATGGGTATCGGCGCGCTGGCCGCACGAATCGTTCCCTATTCATACTCTGTCTTCTCTTTCAGGTAGCGAAGCCATTCGCCATCGCCAGTGAAATCACGTAGCAGTCGATTCGTAGACGACGCAATCGGAGGACACCGAAGATCGTTCTCTTGATGAGAGACTACACCCGGTAGCAGCGGAAAGATCGATCGGCTAGGACCACGGTAGCCAAGAAAAATGACTCGAATGCTGCTGCAAGAGCCCGGCTGGAAGATCGAGCGAAAGGGCTCGGCGCTGCTGATGCGCCGGGACAGCTCCCACCCGAAGGCGACCCGCGTCTGCTTCCGCTGCGACGTGGAGGTCCGCGAATTCGAGCGTGATGAAGATTACATGGTCGAAACAGAACCGGAGGCAGCTGCCAGTCCTCTAGCGATGTGTGCTAGTTGCCTGGCCGCCTTATGTGTCACCGTGATCTTGCCATGGTTGCTGATCGGTGGCTAGATGTTCGACAAGCTCATTAGTCTTTGGGGGGACGTTGGGCGATCGCGCACCTCCGACTCAGCGGATTATTCCGAGGAATCCTCGAACAGCTCCTGGACACTGCGCCACACGTATCGTGTGCGGGACGCTCGAAGATCAGATGAAGATCGAAAGCTGGAAGCTAAAGATTCTCGAAGATCAAGGGATCCGAGAGTCTAGCTGGTGAACGGAGATACAGTTCCTAAAATTGTAGATTAATCGACGCTTCGATCGACCGGGTGTCCTCCAGCGAACCGTTCGGGGATGGGATGTGACGGAGGACTTGCTCTTATCGAAAAGAGTTACGACCGACTTTGTATATTTGATGATCCAAGTATTGGTGTACTATGGAATTCCTGGCCGATAGACGATTCGAAGAAAGGCTGCATGAAAAGGAGAGGGAAGATGGGTAGACGAGTTTCCGTGGTCTAAGTAGATTTTTCCGTGGAGACGAGAGAGAAATACTCGCGGTGGACGTTCCGCGCGGATAGGCGGAACGGATGGAACATCAAAGGGACGCCGGCACATATATTCGAGCGTGCATTAAACCTCCTTACTCGTTTGATGGTATCGACAAATCCTCCGGCCTCTGAAACGGAGGAGACCCTGTGCCAAACGGGAGAGCGGTACTCGAGGTACTCGCGAAAACCTTTCAACTTGCAGACTGCTTACTTTGCACGCGTCGTTCCATTGTGAATATTTCCCCGGCTAGCTCGTGCACGCGCGTGTGTGGTTCGTTTCGAAGCAGAGGATCGAGAAATCGATTGCAAATTCAGGCAAATGTTATTCTCTTTTTTCCCGTGGACTTAAATTAGCACGAGCGGAAATTAAAATTCGATTTAGTTTCTTTTAATAGCGATTTTTTGCACTCACCGGGCGTCTCGTTGTATATTCGAAGTAAAACGAAGGTGGACTCGAGCCGCTGAAATAAAAAAGTTTATTTATAAACGTATGTTCGGTGTGTCTTGTTTTTTAGCTACAGTTGGGTTTCGATTGCGCCAGCTGCTGACCTATATTCAGGGAAATTGATTGACTTGATCGCGTTCAGATTAAATACAGACGTAAATATATCCCGTAGTGGGTTGTGTAACTTGTTTATTTGTTTATAAATTCGTTTGACCTTGTGATCTTTTGATATTGCAGAGATACAGTAAAGAAATATTCGACGGTGCTGTATCTGTACGCGAAATATATGAAGATTATTGAAAAATGTATGTAAATATGAACATTCAAGTTTATCCGTATTTTATGTTTGAATATACTTTGTTACGTATTCATGTTCAGAAAAATGGATTAACCGTTTCCAAATTTGAAGATTTAACAAGAAAAATGAAGAAACTGTTGTTGTTTTTCTATGTTATTTAAATAAATTAAGTTTTTTTGTATATGCTCACGTCGCTGGATTTGTTATTAATAAAAACACAATTTTTCAGTTACAACGTTCTTCTATCTGCAGTGATTTCCAAAATTTGACGTTTCGCTTCTTCGATAACCAATAAAAAAAGTAGAAAATTAAATATCTTCGTAAAAAAAGACTTCCGCGCGTAGGTTCATAAAATTTGAATGCGACGTCGATACGTTGCCTTGTAAAACCAATAATTCTCTCACGTAAAAATAGCAAACAAACAAGAACAATAAAATATTCGAAACTTTGCCAAATTCGTCACTAATTATCATCAGTAGGTAACATTTTCAAAAAGAATGTTTACTACTTTCCTCTAATATACTAAACTATTCAGTGTCCATCTACAAAAAGAGAATAAAAGAAAAAATCTCAGAAAGTTGCCTGTTAAACGTTAATTTCCGCTACTAACACTGTGACACAAGAAAGGTTCGACTGAATGGTTTTCTTCCATGTATTCTGAGACACTCCGTACAAAAACCATTCGACTCGCGCACAATTCTACCGGATACATGTAATCCACGATACGGCGTTTCATTTGAATGTTTCGAAACGGATCCCGTTTAGCCGGTTGCAGTCGATTCTCTCGATCAATTAAGTGTTTTCGTGGTTCGGAGGGAGCAAGTTGAAAAGTTCCTAGCGCAAAGTGAGCAAATGAAAAAGTTTCTCCGGCTGAGAATCCACGATAGGACATGGCGAATCGGGGAATCGGGAGAAGTTTCGATTTCGGGGACCAGTCAGGGTTGTGGTGGTCTGCGAAAAGCGAGGGAAGGCGGTGCATTAAATAAACGTTGTAAGGAGAAACGTTTGAAAAAAACACAAGACAATCTGAATCTCTTGAAAGAGTCGGTTAAAAGAAAATCGTCGTGCGAAATGAATGTTGTGTGTATATATTTACTATTCGCCTCTCACGTTAGTTCCATCGGCCGCAAAGCTAAAAGTTCATAGAGGCAAAGGGACTCTTCCACTCACGATGCTCGGACTATGTTGACCTTCGACGCATGGTCCTTATTGACGCGCAACAATAACAAAGGACGGAATCGTGACTGAATGCGACGGAATAAGACAGAACTATAGAGAATTTTATTTTCTTTCGTTACGTCTTACTTCACCCCCTTCGGTCCCAATTCTGTCCTTTGTTATTCCTGCGTGTTAATAATGATCATGTATCGAAAGTCGAGGCGGCTCATCGTGAAAGTCCATCGTAAGTGGAAAAATCCCCTTGCCCCTGTGCACTCTTAGCTTGGTTGCCGACGGAGCTAATGTGAGAGCTGTATAGTATCTTCTTATTCGTGAATCACGATTCATTCAACGACGCAGATTAATCGGTTCACGGCCGATCGAAACGTTCCGAGGACCATCGATAGATTATACCGTGGAGAGTTTTCAGTAAAGTTTCTTGCGCAATGAAGTGCATGCGATTAAAATTCAAGGTGTTATTAATTGATATTGTGAGGTTGTATTATTTCATTGTGCAAGTGACCACAGTACGTGGAATATTTATGGCTCAGAGAGAGACAGTATGGATTGTGACACGATTGTGTGTACGTGTGTGAAAGTTGGTACCTACAGAGAACGTAGAGACGTGAACATCTGATTTAACGTGCGAGCCTTTATCCTGATCACTCGATGTAAAGTACTATTTGTTTATGTTTCTAATAAAACCCGGAACAAGTTACGAAAAGGTTCATGTGCTTTAACCCTGCGATCCTCTATCCATTAACTGATTTTCAGTTTGATACGTGTTTACGATAAAATACAATGTACTTAGAAGTCCTATAAAATTGTGGCGGTTTCTTTAATGAAGCAAAAATTGAAGAATTTTTATTTATTTTATAATAATAATTACTTTTTAAATTTTCTCATATTCTATATGTCTCAAGATAATTTGTGGTAGTCAATGTACAAACATAAAAGTTGCTAGCGTTTAATATCGAGTTGTGTTTGTGATGAACACTAAATTAAATCCTATAGGTATGAATATTGTTTAGTTCACATAAAGTAAAGAAAAATACCATATTTGTATAGAGGTTACTTGATTTCTTTTCCATTTAGGAAATTATAAATAATTAACTTCTGCGAGTCTAGTCACTAAAGAAATCATAAGGCTGAATAGAAAATTGCATCATCTATTTTTCACATACTTCACATTACACTGAACGGTACAAAGCCCAATTGCCTTTTCTTTAAACAACGCACTGTCAAAAATATCATAAATCACTCAAAGCTTTCCGGCAATCACTTTCCAAAAACACTCACAATTATTACTTTATTCAGTTACATAGAATCTATTCTGCTTTTACTACTCAGATCTATTACAGAAAACCTTCTCCAAATTATTGAACCATACGTGACCCACTCTGATTTAGTACCTTCGTCTCTCCAAAAGTTTCATAACGCCATCGTCCCAAACCTTTTCCCAGACTAAGCGTTCCAGGTCGCGAAAGAAACTTCCGAGAGAGCCTAATAAATAACACGAACAATGGCTCGGAAAGCCATCAAATGACAAAACAGTGCTTTTGTTCGCCGGCTGTAATCAAGGTGCGGTGTGTTGCGAACGAAAAATCGTGGCACGCGACGCATCGTGACAGGTATTTCCGCAATGAAGGGTGCGGACCAATGGAATGACCAAGGACGTAGGGAGGTAGATATGGAAAAAAGTGCTGTGGGCGTAAATTTCGGGTTCTGACGTTCGAGACCGCGGAATAACAGGTGCGCGGCACCGTAAACCACGGTGAAACGTGCGAATTTAATTTCTCGGTTACCGGTTGACATGCATAAATATGCATCACCGGTGCACCACCCTCGCTCTCGAGCCTCTCCTCTGATTTATTCCTGATTACACCGGAACGGATTCCGCTGACCGTTCCCAGTCAGCGTTTCCCGGAAACGGCTGAAGAACGAAAGGTATTTTCGGAGGCGTACGAACGGTCGTGTTCCAATTTTAAGCCGCGTTCCCACGTGTTCGCCGGAACGCCTCTTCGATGTAAGTCGGCTTATTGTATTCTTCCCGATCCGCGAGTGTAGCGATTTCTTGACGTTCAACGGGGGCACCGGAGGCGAATACGATGCCACCGGACAGATATTACGGAATTAATTGCTTCTCTAGCAAGATAAATTATTTGGTCGGTGCAAACGCGGATGTGGGACGTTTTTTTCGTCTACGCGGGGAACGTGTGGAAAATTAACCCCTTGACCTACAATATCGTGTCAGATTCGTGATGAAAATTTTAACACTAAAACTACCAGACGGGTCGAAATGACCCATTCGTGATTTCTTCTTTTTGCAATTATGAAAAAGATAACAGACGTTTCTCTGAAAAATTATTCAAGAAATTGATTTAACAATACGCAAACTGAATTGTAAATGAATTAAAGTCTCAATAGATGCACTCCTGGAGTTTCTATAGAGAAATTTCAAAAAGTCAATTTAACTGCTTGGTGGTTTTAATATTAAACTGAATTTGAGAAATCTAAGTGTTATTTATTATTTTTAAGTATAAATTAAATATTACTTTTCTATTATTAATCGTTAACCTTTGGAGTAAACGTAGACGTGGAATGAGCATTAATATTTTTTGGTTTCTTAATAAATTATTAACGACGAAGCAGTTGTATTGATCATAGTTACGAAATAAGTCGTAGGGCAAGGGGTTGGCATTTACGCCGCAAATTCAATCCTTGTAAACGTTTCTTGCTGTTAAAATGTTTATTTTCATGGAACGAGTAGTCTTGTAATAATGATATATTTTAATGAAATGAGTATGTGCATATGAGTTAACGTTTATTGTAGCGATTGTTTGTTAATTTTTTATTTAGGTGGATAGAAGTGAATTTATTTTGTTTCGTATTCACTTAATATCGGAGTAATAAACAGAGAAACTAGATGATTTTAAAGAATGATTAAACGTTAAATGTTAAATTTTTTGTTGCATGAAAATTATGCATATGGTAGTTTAGGTTGTTCCATTTCTTTCAATTTTTCTTTTAACAAATTTAATTTGTATTAGTAATTTTAATGAAAGTGTAACGAGCATTTGTTTCTGGATAATAGGAATATTGACAGTTTTTAATACATTTTGTTGAAAATATTAGGCAAGTTTTATTATTTGTTGTTTCCTTTTTATGCCTGAGAAACTATGACACGTATGAAAAAGTTATTACAATAAAAATTTAATGACTTTCTATGATCCATAAAAGTGTCCAATGAAGGTGGTAAAAATGTCTTATTACGTAATATACACTTTCCCCAACACTATGGGTTTAAAAAAATTGTAGAACTTTATAGGGTATTAAAAACTACTAAATGTTCATTCTAACAATTTTTTTAATATGTAGTATAACTTTTCTGACATGTAGGAAAATAGGAAGATTAACCTTTAACCTGTTAAGCCTATTGATTCTATTATATATTCACCTATCAACAAATAGTTCTTCCATTTTATTGCATCATTATATCTGTATTAGCATAAACCATAGAATATTGAAATTAATCGCTAAAAATATTGGTTGCATTAACTTTGCTCGTCTTAAGTTACACTTCGCGTGTGGTAATGTACGAAAAATCCCTTGTTCAACCCAGTAAGGTGTGCTTGTAGTTAAAGAGATCAGATAGTAACAAAAATATTAATTTTTATTCATTTAACATACGTTTCCTATAATCCTGCAGATCATAAAGATTAAACAATGTTGTATTTACAAAATTATTTTTGTTTGTAATCGTTCAGAAGCACATGAGAAAGCGAAGTATAATAATTTTATCAAAACAGTAGCATTTGAAATTTTTATTTCGAAATAACAGTTTCAAGTTTATCACTCTAATTCAAAAGCGAAAGTACTAGGCTGTCTGTCCCATAACTTTCTCACATTCTCTGCTCACAATATTGAGCCCGACAAAACTATAAAAAAAAGATATTATGAACCTTCCGCAAAAATAAAAGAAGCTAATAGATACAAATGGATTGTGCATAATTCAGTAACGTGACGTGATGCATGAAACGTCGCGTATTCGTTATGTATCGATAAAACGGAAGAGACTATCGGGACAGGCTAATAAATAAAATTACTTTTCGATACATGTTTACAGTATTATTATTTAGCAGTAATTATTTCTATATCGGAGTGAATCACTCGTTCGGTTGGCGGAGGCTGCTAACAATCTGGTTCGAGGTGAGCCGGAAACCTGAACGCTCACGAAAGAATACGATATCAGTGATCAATGTCTGCGTGATGTATCCTGATATTTAAGTCGACTTTTCCAATAGATCCCAATGATCAATGGTCAGCAGGGAAACCGTTCCGATAGTTCGCTAAATTGCGGCAATTCATTTCGAAATTGCGACACAGGTTGTGTTATTAAATCGATTCTGGAAAATGAAGGGGTCGCTGGCGACGCAGGCCGTGCCATCGGGTGGAGATGATCCATGAATATCGAAGCAAATTCGCGTTATTCATTTCGGCGTGATCGTATTTATATAGAATATATTTATATGATCACCGCAATTTGCATTTCCCCGTTGAACAGTTTATTCGATTCTCATTCCGGTGAAAATGTTTCTGTCTAATTGGAGAAATCGAGCGTAGCAATTTTTTTCATCTCTGTTCGAACAGTTTAGCCGTAATACCTTTGTCAGAATAGAGTCTTTAAGTATCTAATTTATTAGCGGACTGCGAATTTTATGCAATTATAGCGTACACGGGTTTACGGAACGCAATAAAACAAACGATTTTATTGAAGTTTCAAATAGTTTTTATATTGCTACTCGTGACAGTAAGAGTGGTAATGAATGAAATAAATTTCTATTTAACCACAGACTATACAAACTGGTTTATAAGAATTCATAAAAATCTGCTGTTCTGTCTATCACTGTTATACAATTTACTTATTATTAAACGTACTAGTAGTGTAACTGAACCCAATTAAAGCAGAAATACGTGTGTACTCGCCAGAAACAGGAAATTACTTCATTTTGAATATTAAAGATCTCATCAATAAAAATTGACTCCCTTTATTTTTTGTTAGAAACTTCTTATCTGAATGATAATATTTAACAATATAACACATTTAGTATGCAAAGACTACCAACGGAATTAAATGCTTTTTATGTCAACGCAGAAAAAGTAATTGGAGTGCAATAATATTAAAAAAAAATTTCATCAAGGTCTCGATTCGCTTCGAAAAGAAATCCCTGATTTTTCGGTCCCGTGTCGCACGTTACGGAGCACGTACGACAATAATGAAGGTTAATTAGACGGGTTGACGCATCGAGTGTGAAATTATTACCAGCAAGCTATCCGTGATCTCTGGTAGGAATATATTTAGCCACCGGGGGTTGATTGCTACAAATTGGCTTCAATTTCCTTCAATTTGCAAGGAATTAAAAAATTCATGTATCGTGGGCGTCATCTGTCGACCGACGGGCTCGGATCCTGGTAAAGTAGATTTCGTTTTAGCTACCGGGTTCTTTTAGCTGATACGTGAATCTGAAATTGGTCGGCAGATGGCGTCACCATGTTTTAAGCGAGTTGCATCGGGTAATTGCCCGCGTTCCGTTCGAGTGAGTGTTTGCAAACCAACGTGTGTCTGTTAATGGTGGAATTAATTATTAATTTATCACTGTCAAGACTGGGGTTGCTGTGCACCATTTTAACAGACTTGCTAGGTACCTATACTCGTATTTCATTTTTCTCCCAACTTGTTAGTTCATTTTAAAATAAGGAACACAAATCTTCGCTTATTGCTTCCTATACGGCAGCCATTAAGTATAGCGGTCATTATTCACGTTGCTTTACAACATGTTAGAAATTTTACTTGGTACTTATATTCATGCATCGTATCTTTTACAACTTGTTACTTTGTTTTTATGAATACCACAGCTATGGTTATTGCTTTCTGTAATGATCAGCAGAATTATGGCAGTCATTTTTAAATGGTTATATTTTAAAGCTACATTTAAAAGACCATGTGTCAAATGTTTCTGTTACAGCTGCCGGACCTGAATAATCTCGATGAAAAGGTGAGTGCTAACCACGAATCCTCGTTCATGCTTAGAACAATTACGTGATCATCGCGGGTAAGTGATTTGTCTGACATTATTTCATACAGCGTGTCCATATAGTTCTCAGTTACTTTTGTGAAGGAATTAAATGTCTAATGGGTTTTTATAATGAATGGTTAATGTACTAACATTTATCGATTAATTAATGTTAGTAACTGAAAATACTAACTGAGGATTTAACTTCGTAGTAAATGGTTTATTTAATAATTAAAACCACTTAAATCGAAAATTCATACAAATATAACCTTACATTTTGTAAAATGTTCCTTCAGACAGTTCTACAAAATATAATACTTTCATTACTTATGTCACTACGCCATCTTCGTTTTTATTATTACTTCCTTCATTCAACATATTTAACTATTTTCTCGAAAATTATATTTTTGGATTCTGATCCTATTTTTTGTGTATATCATCTCGTCATATGAAAATCTTGTTATTACCATATAATTCATTTAACAAAACTATTGCGAACCGTTTGGACATTTTTCATTACTTTTAGTGCCTTACCAGTTCGGTTCTTTTTTGACCATGATCGATGTAGCTCCGACCCAAAGATGGTGTCGCGGTTGTTAAGCGCGTAGATACAAAATTTCACGGCAGCTTAGAAATTCTAAGCAGAATCCACGGTGTTACGTGCCTGGAATCACAGATGAGGCGTTCGTTTAAGGTGCCGTGGGTAGATTAAGCTCCTCTAAGGAGGGAGGTTATGTAATCTCGGCGAAAAAGGTGCAGGCGAAACCAATACGAAGGTTCCGAGGGCCTCGTGAACGTTGTTTATGCGAGTAAACGGTTTCAAAACTTATCCAGGTTCTAGTGTCGTGCGTGTGCATGCCACAGAACTTGTTCCTTGGATTATTGTAGTTTTAGCATATATCATGGAAGAGAGATCTTTACACGAACATTCAGTGTAGGCGTTCAGCGTATACGTACATCTATACTGTTTATATAGAAGTATGATTATAGTTTATATGATTTATAAACGAGCATAATAACCTTTCAGCTAAAGGCTTCGACCGATTCTTTGCTTTTGTAAGCAGTGGTCCGTGTTCACTGAAACTTTAAACGATATGCCAGGAATTTGCAGGTGAATATCGAATGAATTGCATATTCAAGTTCATTTTTAAAGCAGTTGGCATTAACACAAAGTAGTTCATTTTCTAAAATTTTATATATGTAAAAGTCTCATTTCTTATACTTCATTCAGTGCCTAATAAAGGCTCCACTAAAGTATACAAATTATTCTTTCGAACTTCTCTAAATTAGATGTTTCATAAACATTCATATTCAGAGTTGTAATTATAGCGATGGTCACTGGATGGTTTCTCAAACTGCCACAAAGTGAACAAATTTTATTCCATGTTTTCAGATTATTCTTCAATTTATATTCATACCCTCACCATATAGTTAAATCACCATTTAAATGACACCGTATTACATTACAGAATGTAAACTAAACCCAGATCTTCATATTGAATCAGAATAACATCCTCCATCGCCATTATCAAGACCGTAGCCATTTCCTCTATCGAAGTTCCAATGTTGTTACAAAGTCTCCAATTCCTAGTCTCCAGTTTTCACTTTACGACCGATAAACTTGGCCGACTGTTCGAAATCGTTCCAAATACCGGTTGTTGCGAAAGCGTGCCTCCCGAAAGCTTCTATTTTTTCCTTTTCGGTTAAAATTGTGTCCGCACCTGCCCCGCCTCCGGCTCGTTTGTCAACTATAGCCGCGGCAGCTGTTCATCCTCTAATTTATCGTAATCGCTCGTTAGCGTCGTATAAATTACGTTTATTTCAATATTATCTCAGGAATTAACAATTACATGGGGCGGAATTAATTTTCCTGTGCCGCAGCGGGACAGTGTTTCGGCGGCGCGTGTGCAATTCACGATTTATCGAGTGCTTCGTCGACGCCTTCGAATTTATTTTCACTGAATTGCGTAACCCGCGATTTTCACGGCGCTCTGCAACAATTGGCCGATTGTTCGAGAGTGACCGGTCGGCGGATCGAGCCCCGTGGGTGGAGCCAGATCGCGGAAACGGATCGTTAAGATAATCGATCGTGAAATTACGCGCGGCTCCTTCGGTCTGCTGGCGACACGTGAGGAACGCCGCGGTTTTATTGTTCGGCTGACTGTTATTGTTACCCTTTTACGGCTGGTTTATCGTCGTTCGCGTTACCGATGTTAATGACGAGATTATCGTTAGATTTACGGACACCGATTGAATACTTTATTGGATCGTTTCCGGAAAAATATATGTATGGCGCACTGTCTACGGATGCTTGAAATTAGAGAGCCGACTGAGGAAACGGATCGGTCGATTAACGTCGATATACATTGCTTATAAATAATATTTACGGTTTCTTTGATTTCTAACGTGATGTTGGAATTGGACGGATTCCGTGTGTTTAGTGTCAATCTTTGGATTTGAATGACAGAGCGGTTACAGTAGGATATTTACTGTTGGGAGAGTATAATCGATTGAGAATTAATTAGTCTCTGTTCTGTTAATGTTTTGGATAAGAATATTTGAATCGAGAGATAAATATATCGTCTCTTATTTATGTGTACCGTTGTCCTGAAATTTGAATCATTTTTTATGTTTATTGAGCTTGTAATGTGTAGTTTTATCAAAGTTTCAGGAGGAAGGTGATGTACTATCATTTTTATCGATTCTATCGGATTTAATCGGCTCATTTTTTATTTTATTTAGAAAGAAGTGACACGTTCAAGTAAATCTTTCTTTTATCTGTAAAGCGGTTAGCATAATGCAATATTGAAAACAAGTAGGCAGCAAAAGGACTATAAAGTAAAATATATACCTCATAAAATCAGTGTAAAGTTATGTAATGGTGTGAGATACATGGTGAAAGTAAGTTTCAATACATTTTATTGATTAATGACGTTTCTGTAACTATAAAATTGTTTCATTGAAATGTTTTGTTTGGTCTCGTACCGCCTTTCTGATGTCGAGTCTTGTATTAATAACATAGAACTGATGTTCATTGTCGCCACGCAGCCCCGCGTTGGTATCTGGGCTACTCGCTCGAGCCGTACAGTCAGCCGACCGTATCGCAAAAAACACTATTACTTCAATGAAGCCTATAAATAAAATTAGCAAGACTCAAAGCCTTGTCACTAGTATTATTTGAACGTTTAGAGGCAGTACTACCAGCTTACACATTACAAATGACATTATTCCAGGATAATTTTTTCTTATTCTTTTCCTATTGAATTATTTCATATGTGTTGTAACAAGATTATAGCGTGTATGATTTTTACATTGTTCCCAGCATGTCGTAAATAAAGCAGTGGTAATTGATTTATTATTTGGCGAACTGGCGAATCGAATGATAAGGTACTTTAAACATTTTTGGACTAAATATCTAGTTATTCGTACGCGTATAAAAGTATTAACTATCGTACGAAAGTATTGAATTTTAAGTAATACAAAATTTAATTGAATTATTTGTTTTGCTGCAATTATTGCCAATAACATTTTACCGGTGCCTACAGGCGCTAACAGTACACCGAAATCAAATGCTTAAAACGCCTTTAGGCGCCAACGGTAGCCAGGGAGTTAACATAAGTATCTTCAGAAACATTTACTTCATTAAATACTTATTTTAAATTCATTATGTTTAAGGGCATGCTCATTTAGAAGTACTCTCTAGGCACGAGTTCTCATGAATAAAGATTTATCAAGATCATCACTTTGTTACACCTACTAAGTAACCATTAAGACTGCAAGAAAGGAGGAAACGTTTTTACATATCAAAGTGGAATAAATTTTAATTTTGCCACAAGTTGCTTTCCGAATCACTGCGAGATGAGAATCTGAGATATGTGCATCATACCGCGACGCCATAATTAACGTCTTAATACTCTATGATTAATTTCAAAATTCTCTGTCAGAATAAAGTACCCTCCGTAGAAAATTCCAAAGAATCTAATCATGTTTTCCCAAAGCGGTTTAACTCTCATCACGTACACCCGAGATACATAATTTAAGAAATAAGAATCTTCACTTCTAGATTGATCGCGAAACAACCTTCTAATTAGTAGCCTCCTCCCTCGATTGTTCGCGTCGACGCACTCTCGCAGCCTTTTTTTATCAATGCAAACGAACCGTGTTTCGTGCACGCGAACTTCACAGAGTGACTTGTTGCCGGCAAGCCGCGATACGCGCGTATCTTATAAATTGCACTGTTCCCTCTCGCGATTTCCAGGAATCCTTGTCGCTAGAATACCAGGGAAGTCCGTGTGGCCCCTCGAGGTTAATTTCGTGGCGCGTACGAGATCACCGTCACGTCTCCGGACAGACAGTTCCGCGAACATTTCTAATTATACATTTCGAGAGTTGTTCACCTATCCCGGGAAAACCTGTATCGGATTTCCATGACGCGAACGTGACCCATGGTCCCATTGTTCAATTCTGGCTTGATTATGGGGATATCTCAAACTAGTGGGAACACGTTTCATTTGATGAACTTCCATCGGGTTTCAGGTACAGTTATCGATCGACAAATCATTTGTAAGATTACTCTTGTATTAGCAATTTGCTGCATTCAGACACCTAATTATTATCACACCTTCTTATGGGAGTTTTCATGTAAGTTTAAATTTTGAAGAGTATGATTAGAAAATCAGAGTTGCAGTAGAAAATAATTTTTCTTTGAAGATATTAAAAGTAGTGCACATTGGATATTTCATATATTTCTATGTGTCGTGTGAATTCTATGCACTTTGCATTTTTAAATTTCTAATTGTTATTTCTCTAATAATAATCTAATTATTAACGTCTTCTTACATTTGATTCTTTCAAATTGAAAAGCAAGAATAAACGAATCGTCGCGGACTTCAATTTTCTTGAACGCTCCACGTTCCCCGTATTGGCGCGGTCGCGTGCATTTACCTAATCCGCAACGTGTTATGCAATACGACTCGCGGAAT